TGGAATAAAGAGGTTAATATAAAAAAATTTTTTTTGTCCGATTCATCGATTAATTGAAAAAATAATCGGCAGATTCATCGATTTTTAAAATAATCGTTAGTTGCAGCACTAGACAAAGGGCTCCATCCCCTGGGGAGGGTTTTTTTTTGGCTTCTTTTGTTAGCCTGTAATGCCCGATAAAGGTCGTCGTTAAGGGAATTTTTGGCCTGGCTGAATATGTCCGGTCTGCTGTACAGGGGCTGCGATGCTAGTGGGAAGGAATCAACTCACTTGCTGCATTGTAGGTTTTTGAAAGCCATGTCGACCCCCTCTGTTTAAGGTTTGAATTGAAAAAGCTTCCTGGATGGGAACCGAAATGTCTTCAAAGTTGGAAACAAAGTCCAGTAGATTCTTTGTAATTTTCTTTTTTTGGAATGACTATGACCTGGATGGATTCTATAGCAGCATATCTATAGCTATATAGCTCAGGATAATCTGAACCACTCTAACTGTACGTTTTTAAATGTCAAACAATTCATTAGGTTTGATTATATGTACAAGGCACTGTTACGTTATGTCGCCAATGAAACTGACTTTGGTGAAGACCAGCGGAATGGCTTGAGTGTCTGTAAGCTGGGCTTGTATTTTCCAAACAGGGAGGGGTGAGACACCCTGTTTTTAGGCACATCATTGTGTTCTGGGCTGGCATATTCCGATCCAGTTCTCCAACGAATGCCATCGTCAGCCTGATGAGTAAAACAAGCAAAGAGAGTTAGAAAGTGTAAAAATCAAAGAGCCTCAAAGAACATTGCAACAAAAACACAGGAAGCAAGAGAAACAATAGAAGGAGAACAGATCTGAGAGCAAAACGGGAAACCGGTAACGTCACAGTTACTGTTTGTCCTCTAAACTCACAAAAGACTCCTGTTGATTCCCGTTCTGCTCTAACGAAACATCTTTCTTCATTGTGTCCTGCATCACAGACAAAAAAAAACGTTATGAAGGTTCTTGTCAAAAAGCGTTTAATTTGAGTCCAAACTGAATCTGACAGCAGGGAGTCATGATGTCTCTCGCTTCACATGAAAACCTTTGGAGGTTTTGGCAGGTAAAGTCAAAGGAAATACATCCAGTGACTTAAAGGTAAATAATAACCCTTGTTGCCTCCTGACAAACATTTGAAACTACAAAGTCAATGAGTTACAGGAGGTGCCTCCCACTGTGTCAAAGTTCCCAGAGATGAATCAAACACACAGATCATGATGACCAATCTGTTCTCCTTCATGGTTATGACATTTAAAGAGAGCTGAAAATGCAGAACTTAATCTCACATATACAACTTACTGAGCTATTTTGAAAGACAAAAAGAGTTCAGCCATTATAAGGTGTCTTGGTGCTCCTGGTCCAAAGACCGTCTAAACCAGGGGTAGCCAATTAAAAATCAGCGGAGTCAGAATAAAGAAAATCATCAACCAGTAAAGGTCCAGAGACATTTTT